AGGAAGTTAGGCCAGATGACATGTCACGCCCCGGACCTCCCCGGACACGTCGACAACCCGCCGTACAATACGAATAGTCAACCGCAGTCCAACACATTCATATTATACAAGGCGTCATGAATATCATTCACACATAAGTCATCCATAAACAACATAATAAGTAATTCATAAAGCAGCGGAAAACATTGTTTAAAACGAAAGGGGCCACATAGGGCTATTCATGAGCACGCAGGCTCTATAATAAAATATCCATGAGCATGTTTATTAATGTTTAAAATCTGAATGGAGGAAGCACGAACCAAGTCTTCGCTCCTAGATGATCTCTCGAGCAACGAGCACAGGAAGCAAGCTCTAGCCTCAACCTGAAAAATGGTGGTGGGACGCCCCCGAAGGGGTCAGCACTCTATACGGCTATAAAGTGCTGGTGTGGCAGGCATCTAATAGATATACAACAAGTATTTCAAACACAAGACCCTCAAATAGGGTGATAGTACATTATGATTGTAACCCTAAGTTACCCCGTTCAAAAAATATACTTACTTTATATAAAAGTCAAGTAGTCGGCCCGTGGGCCCATGTTTGTTTGGAAATCACCATTCCCAACCCCGTGACTATAAGCTACGACAACTCCTAGAGTCCAACCCTAGTACATGACATTGTATTCTAGAGCTCGGCTCTACCACATCACCATACAATTCATATACCTCGGGTCAATCTCCCTACCTTGCGTTCTAGAGCTCGGCTCTATCACATCACCACGCAAGTCCTAGAGCTCGGCTCTAGCTATACAATACATAGACTCCAAGTCTACACCTTACATGCATTCTAGAGCTCGGCTCTATCACATCACCATGCATTAAGGTCCAATTCTCAAGCAACCCTGTGCCTAGAATTGACATATCAATAAACTACCATGGGTCACCCTTAAAGACTTCCCCCAACTTAACCTTAGTTCCATACTAAGTTATTATATACACTTGAACTATATTCAAGTACCTTTCATACAATCCAATCCCTAGGATCAATTTAATCAACAAGTTCCAATAATCACTAGCTAGTATTTCAATACTATTAAGATTATTGTTATCATACCACTATCCTCTTTACTTGTGATTCTCTACATAATTATAATTATGTAGCAGCAACTTAAGTATTCAATCTCAATACACAAATATTCATTTATGTATCCACATAATTCATACATGAGTAAAATACCCATTTTCACGAAATAGTTCTTTTATACTCATTTAGTCTCATATTATTCATACCTTCTCAAATCATTTCAAATTTCATTCTTTGGCAACTATATCAATATTTCATCAATATATAATCATTATAATCCATGAAAAATCATGATTTAAGCATTTAGGTAATCTCATGCTTAACCTACAAGTTGTAAGCAATTAGATGTCAATCCTCACCTCAATTGAGCTTTAAACTTTCCCTTCTTGGTCCAATGGTCAAATCTTTGGTCAAGGTGGATTTGGGACTGATTCCTTGCTCAAATATGAGTGTTAAACAGCCTCCTCAAAGTGCTAGTTCAACCCTTAATCGTTGATACGAAAACAGCCCCTAGAACGGGTGTTTTCCGGCTAACTCGATTCCTAGTTTTCCAATATTTGCATCTAGGTTAGTATCTAACCTTTACATCAATAAAATAACTTTATAAGGACATATTATACACTTGGATTAGTGTATAATAGTCTCACCAATCGTTCATATCATTTGGAGAATGAAAAGTAAAGCTTTGGGGTTAAAACTCACTTTAGAAGATTAAATCCTCTCCTGCGAGGTTGCGTTTTTCTCGGACAATTTGGAAGCCTTCCACAACTCCGATTCCTGCAAACCAGGCCTTCACAGATTCCTCGTCTTGAGAGCTTTCTTTTGGTATATCATACGCCTTATTTGGACGAGTGAAGCTCAAGTTATGGATCAAACAAGAGACCCTATCTGCTGGAAAACGAATCCTGCGGCCAGCTTCTCTCTTCTCTTCTCCCTTGGAATATGTGGCTCCCTCTTTCTCTCTTATCTTGGGAGTTCGAATGGGGTGTAGGGGAAATGTATTAGGAAGGCCTCAATCATGCTAAGAGAGCATGTGGTTCACAAAAAGAAGGGTGGGGTATTTGATTGCAATCAAACATGGTATGGACCTCCTCTTTTATTTCCTTTTTGTAATGTTGTAGCTCATGAGTCAAAAGTCCGCCCCACATAGTTGTCTCATCCATTTTTCTTTGTCTTTGCAGGTACCAAGGTCATGTGGGATGGTTCCCAAATGATCCCATTTAATTTGGGGTCCAAAATATCTACCAATACTTCCAAAAATGGGAAGATGGGTCCTATTGTTTTATCTTTGTCAAAAGATGTCTTTTTTTTTGTACTCATTCTAATTTATTTAGAGCAAGTCAACTTCCTAAATCACATTATTGATCTCCAATATGTGTAGGCTCATCCCAATAATTTACATGATGAAAATTACAATAGAATGCGGGTTTGAACAATACAATATTCAATCATGTACTTCGTAAAATATTAATCGTTTCTTCCATTGCTTTGAAATCGGAAATTCAATACATCACTTTTGAATTTTTAAATCGAATTTTCAAGGACGTTCGGGTGCGGTGTCACAAGTTCACCCCCCCTTAACAGGAATTTCGTCCCCGAAATTCACAGCTCTACTCGAATAGGAAAGCATACTGCTTCCTCATCAAAGCCTCCGTTTCCCATGTCTCTTCCTCGACCCGATCGCTCTTCCACAGGACTTTAACCATTGGGACTTCTTTGCTCCTCAGCTTCTTCACCTTTCTATCGGTGACTTTGATAGGTTGAACAGCGTAGTTCAAATCCTCACGTACCTCTACAGGTGGCTTCTCCAATACGTGAGAGGGATCATGCACGTACTTCTTAAGCATGGATACATGAAACACATTATGTATCTTCTCTAACTCAGGAGTCAATTGTAGACGATATGCAACGGCCCCAATCCTCTCTATAATTCTGAATGGACCTATATATCGTGGGTTAAGTTTTCCTCGGGTTTGGAACCGAATGATCCCTTTCCAAGGAGAAACTTTCAAGAATACCTCGTCATCAACCTTAAACTCTAAGGTTCTTCGACGCTTATCTGCATAACTCTTTTGTCTATCCTGAGCCGCCTTGAGTCTCTCTCGAATCAACTTCACCTTTGATTTGGTGACCTCCACCAACTCAGTACCCTCGAGTTTGGCCATGCCAACCTCGTCCCAGCATAACGGTGTACGACACCTCCTCCCATACAATGCCTCGTATGGAGGCATGCCGATGCTTGCCTGATAACTGTTGTTATAGGCAAACTCCACAAGTGCTAAGTGGTTGTCCCAACTCCCCTGGAACTCCAATGCACAAGCCCTCAGCATGTCTTCTAGGATCTGTATAACCCTTTCAGACTGCCCATCCGTCTGTGGATGGAAAGCAGTGCTGAACTTCAACTTCGTTCCCATAGACTCCTGGAATTTCGGCCAAAAACGTGATGTGAATCGTGGGTCTCTATCAGATACAATGGTCACCGGGACCCCATGCAGCCTCACGATCTCATCCGTATACAATTTGGCTAACCTCTCAAGTGGGTAGGTAGTGTTGATAGGCAAGAAGTGTGCACTCTTTGTGAGCCTATCCACAACGACCCAAACCGCGTCATAGTTCCTGATAGTCCGTGGTAAGCCTACCACGAAATCCATAGTCACGTGCTCCCACTTCCATTCAGGGATGGAGAGTGGTTGCAATAAGCCTGCTGGGTGCTGATGTTCTGCCTTAACTTGTTGACAAGTAAGGCACCGACTGATGTACTCGGCTATTTCCCTCTTCATTCCAGACCACCAGTAACTTTCCTTCAAATCACGGTACATTTTCGTGCCCCCCCGGGTGCATGGCATAAGCCGATGAATGAGCCTCCTCTAAGATGGACTTTCGGAGCTCATCATCTGACGGTACACACACTCGGTCACGAAATAACAAGAGACCATCATCTCTTTCCCTGAAATCCTCCACCGGCCCCGCTTGCATGCGTTCCCGGACCTTCATAAGTTCTTCGTCGGCTTCCTGACCCTTCTTGATCTCATCAAGTAAAGTGGGTCTCACCTCAAATCGTGCCAATAAGGCACCATCGCTGGTTACCTCCAGTTGGGCTCTTAATGCCCTCAAATTAGTTATCAATGCCCCAGACGAGCTCTTTCGGCTCAAAGCATCTGCCACCACGTTTGCCTTGCCTGGGTGATATTCTATCACTAGATGGTAGTCTTTTATCAGCTCCATCCACCGTCTCTGTCTCATGTTTAGCTCTTTCTGAGTAAACACGTACTTCAAGCTCTTGTGATCAGTGTATATGTGACATGTCTCCCCGTAGAGATAATGTCTCCATATCTTCAGTGCAAATACCACTGCCCCGAGCTCCAAATCATGAGTAGGATAATTCACCTCATGCTTCTTCAATTGTCGTGAAGCATAGGCGATTACCCTCCCATTCTGCATCAGTACACATCCGAGCCCTTGGATGCTCGCATCGCTATAGACATCGTACCCCACACCTTGTTTGGGTAATGCAAGTACCGGTGCCTCAGTCAATCTCTTCTTTAGTTCCATGAACCCTTTCTCACATTTGTCATCCCATACAAACTTAGCCCCTTTACAAGTGAGCTTCGTCAATGGTGATGCCAAAACAGAGAACTTTTCCACAAACTTCCTATAGTAGCCTGCCAATCCAAGGAAACTACGAATTTCCTTGACGTTCTTTGGCCTCTCCCATTCGGTAATGGCTTCTATCTTCTTGTTGTCAACAGCAATTCCCGATCCAGAAACCACGTGCCCGAGGAAGCCAATCTCCTTCAGCCAAAATTCACATTTAGAAAATTTGGCATAGAGTTGCTTCTCCCGTAGTGTCACGCCCCGGACCGCATCCAAACGCGTGTACAACCGCCGTATGACTAAACGACGTCACCCGCAAGTCAACGTGACTTAATCATACAAGGCGTCCATGAACATTGTTCATACCATACTCAGTAAGTAAACATACATAACAACATCACATATTTGGATTGAACGAATCGCGGAAATATTCAATATTCAATCATGGGCCACATATGGCCAAAACGTGGACTCGCAGGCCCAAAACAAATGTACTTATTACAAATTATCCATGAGCATAGTTTGTAGTTTAAAACAGTAAAGGAAGCACGAACCACGTCTCCCTTAAGATTACTTCACCGAGCAAGGTGAGAATGCAAGCTTGAGCTTCAACCTGAAATGGTGGGGCCCCCCCGAAGGGGTCAGTACAAGTACCGAGCGAGTAGCAGGCTAAATGTAGAATAACTAACGTTTCAAGTATAAGACCCAAACATAGGGTGATACATATACATATAGTTCTTTCCCCCAAGTTATGAAATATATATCATTATATATACACTTGGAAATACCCGACCCGTAGGTCATTGTTTATTTGGGAAATAATATAGCCGGTAACCTTGGCTTAAACCCCAACCCACCCATATACCTATGAGTGTATAGAACTCCTCCTGGTTCAAATTATCTTAACTTGAGGACACCGCCCGGTCCTAAATTACAAATGGTAGTCTATGAGTTTTGAGGATACACGCCCGATCCTTGGGTACTCCACCCTATATAACCGAGTTTTGAGGATAACCGCCCGATCCTTGGGTACTCCACCCTATAACCGAGTTTTGAGGATACACGCCCGATCCTTGGGTACTCCACCCTATAACCGAGTTTTGAGGATACCGCCCGATCCTTGGGTACTCCACCCTATAACCGAGTTTTGAGGATACCGCCCGATCCTTGGGTACTCCACCCGACTTATGATCTACCACATATCATCCTAGATAAGGTCTATATCATAATCAATAATCAAGACTAAAACAAGTCTTAAGGCCTAAGCATAATCATCCATGCAATTCATGCATTAAAATCAACATATAGGCAAAACAGTGCCAAACCGGCGCCGGTTTTGACATAACCAGCGCCGGTTATTATTTAATTCAATAAAACCGGCCATGCCGATCCATAACCGGCGCCGGTTTTGCCTATAACCGGCGCCGGTTGCCCCCTGGGCAACCAAGTCAACATTTTCGTTGACTCGCCATTTCAAACCCGATTTGCGTCAAACTTAATCCCAACATGTATTAAGTTATAACCAAGCATTTTATGCCCCTTTTATCCCTTAAAACATCATATATGTTTTTATAAACATTTTCATATCATACTTCATTTATGATAGATATCAATGGGTCATACATATAAGTCTAATCACTTTGGATAATCACATGTTTAAGCATCTTTTAAACATTATTATGAACACATATAACATTTACTTAGGTAATCTCATAATTAACCCAAGAGTTATAAGACATTAAGCCGTCCACTCACCTCAAATGAGCGTGATGAAGTTCTACCCCTCTCGGTTGAACTCCGGCCAAACTCCGGTGAACTTTGACGAACTCCGGCGATAACTCCGGCGACCCTTTAAACTTCGTGAAAGCTTTTAAGTCACCTTTGACAAGTTCCTAACAAGGTTTTATCATCACAAAACCCATATTAATACAAATAACCTCTAAAAGGTTATTTTCCGGCTAACCGGTCGTTTTGGCTCCTAAGTCCGTTTTTTGGACTTAGAACTAGTTTCAACCCCTTGTTCCACACTTATACACATGTGGAACATCCTTAAGGGTAGTTCATATGACATATAAGTCATATGAAATCAAAAGATGGAAGAGAAGTTGTTAAAGAGCTACTCACCTTTATTCTCAAGGTCTTTCTCTACTTTTGCAACCTTTTTCTTCTTCCTTGAGCTCTTTGCTTGTTTGAGCTTTCTTGGCTATGGAGATGGAGGGTTTTCAGAGCTATTTCTCTCTCTCTTTGGGGGCTGGGTCGAGCTAAGTGATTGGGGGGAGGTGATGTGTTTCCTTTTGTCTCAAATGTGAGATAATTGGGAGGGGAGGTCTACCTAGGGTCATTCCTACACCAACCAATCACTCTCACTCAATATACACCACTCCCCCATGCTATGCAGCTCCCCAAGTCAACCATCTAGCACACAAAAACGTGGGGTGGCCCCCACTCATGTGGGAGGTCATCCCAACTTGTCCCGATGTGTACAATCGGCCCCGAAAGTTGTATTTCTCGGACTGTTTTAGTTATATTTTATTTTATCGGGTCAAATAAAATATATTACATGTTCACACTCATTATGGATCTTAAGAATGAATATACATTCCCCAACTTTAATTTAAGTCTCCGAAATTCATTTCGGACTGTTATCCGATAATTATCCAAAACCGGTAATTGGGCCTCGTTTGACCAATCGGTCAACCCAATGCCTTTCTGATGGTCCAAAGTGAATGTCCACTACCATATAACTATTATCTATACCAAGATGAATAAAATAGGCGATCTCGGGAATATCGGGTGGTCCCCGCTCCCGGTGTGGGCCCCACGTGCAATTTACTATTCACGCAAAAGAATTAAAGGAAATTTACAACCTTGTAAATTCATTAACCATTTCATAAGATTCAACACACAATTTACTTAAAAGTAAATACACTTGGGGACGGTGTTACAAGTTCACCCCCCCTTATTTGGGATTTCGTCCCCGAAATCCACGTGTCTAATCGAAAAGAAACGGGTATTGCTCCCTCATTGAGACCTCGGTCTCCCAGGTTTCTTCTTCGACTCGATCACTCCTCCACAGAACCTTCACCATAGGAATCTCCTTGTTCCTAAGTTTCTTCACCTGTTGGCCCACTATTTCCACTGGTTCCACAGCATATTGCAAGTCCTCCCGGATCTCCACCGGTGGTTTCTCAAGAATATGTGACGGATCCCGTACATACTTCTTGAGCATCGATACATGAAAAACATCATGAATCTTCTCAAGTTCGGGGGTTAACTTGAGGCGATAAGCTACGGCCCCAATCCTCTCAAGGATTTCAAATGGACCAATGTATCGGGGGTTAAGCTTACCCCTTGATATGAATCGGATGATGCCTTTCCAAGGAGAGATCCTTAGAAAGACTTCATCCCCGACCTCAAACTCCAACGGCCTCCGCCGTTTGTCTGCATAGCTCTTCTGCCGATCTTGGGCAGCCATAAGTCTGTCACGGATGATCTTCACCTTAGCCTTGGTGATCTCAACGAGTTCTATCCTTTCGAGTTTGGCCTCGCCAACCTCATCCCAACACAAAGGTGTCCTGCACTTCCTCCCATATAATGCCTCGTAGGGAGGCATGCCAATACTCGCCTGATAACTGTTGTTATAGGCAAACTCTACCAGAGCCAAATGTTTGTCCCAACTCCCTTGGAACTCCAAAGCACACGCTCTAAGCATGTCCTCCAAAATCTGTATCACCCGTTCGGACTGTCCATCCGTCTGTGGGTGAAAAGATGTACTAAACTTCAGTTTAGTACCCAAAGATGCTTGAAACTTTGGCCAAAATCTGGATGTGAATCGTGGATCCCTATCTGAGACAATGGATATCGGGACTCCATGCAATCTCACAATTTCTTCCGTATATAACTTGGCCAACCTTTCAAGAGGGTAGGTAATGTTGATAGGCAAGAAATGTGCGCTCTTGGTGAGCCTATCAACCACTACCCAAACTGCATCATAGTTGTTTACCGTCCGTGGTAGCCCTACCACGAAGTCCATAGTCACATGTTCCCACTTCCATTCTGGAATGGTAAGCGGCTGCAATAGTCCTGCCGGGTGTTGGTGTTCTGCCTTAACCTGCTGGCAAGTAAGGCATCGACTCACATACTCTGCGATGTCTCTCTTCATACCTGACCACCAGTAACTCTCCTTCAAGTCTCGGTACATCTTAGTACCCCCTGGATGCATGGCATAGGCCGAAGAATGAGCCTCCTCTAGTATAGACTTCTGGAGTTCCTCATTCCTTGGTATGCACACACGGTCTTTAAACATCAAAAGGCCATCCCCACGTACCCGAAAGTTCTCAACGGGCCCCTCAAGGATCCGTTCACGAATCTTCTGACATTCCTCGTCCATGGCCTGACGTCTACTGATCTCACTCAGTAATGTGGGCCTAACCTCAAAGCTAGCAATGAGGGCCCCGCATGTGGACACCTCTACGCGCGCCCTCAATGCCCGTAGGCATGTGAGTAACGTCCCCGACGTACTCTTCCTGCTTAGCGCATCGGCCACCACGTTGGCCTTCCCGGGATGATAGTCGATGATCAAGTCATAGTCCTTGATCAACTCCATCCATCTCCTTTGTCTCATATTCAACTCTTTCTGAGTGAATACATACTTCAAACTCTTATGATCAGTATAAATGTGGCATGTCTCCCCGTAGAGATAATGCCTCCAAATCTTCAGTGCAAACACTACCGCCCCCAACTCCAGATCGTGGGTAGGGTAGTTCACCTCGTGTTTCCTCAATTGCCTAGAGGCGTAGGCTATCACCTTACCGTTTTGCATCAACACACATCCTAGCCCTTGGATGCTAGCATCGCTATAGATATCGTACCCTATCCCTTGCTTGGGTAGGGCAAGAACTGGTGCCTCGGTAAGTCGCTTCTTCAATTCAAGAAACCCTTTCTCACATTTGTCATCCCATATGAACTTAGCCCCCTTCTTGGTGAGCTTCGTCAATGGAGACGCCAACACAGAGAATTTCTCAACGAACTTACGATAGTACCCCGCTAAGCCAAGGAAACTACGTATTTCTTTCACATTCTTGGGTCTCTCCCAATCAATGATGGCTTTTATCTTGGCATTGTCCACTGCAACGCCCGAGCCGGATATGACATGCCCGAGAAAACCAATCTCTTTGAGCCAAAATTCACATTTGGCGAACTTGGCAAAGAGTTGTTTTTCTCTAAGTCGTTCAAGTACAAGCCTCAAGTGATGTTCATGCTCCTCCTCGCTCTTGGAGTATATCAAAATGTCATCAATGAATACTATCACAAATTGGTCCAAGTATTCACTAAACACTCGGTTCATCAAGTCCATGAATGCCGCCGGTGCGTTGGTTAACCCGAATGACATCACAAGAAACTCATAGTGACCATATCTAGTGCGGAATGCACTCTTAGGTATGTCACTCTCCTTGATCTTCAACTGATGATAGCCCGATCTCAAATCAATCTTGGAGAACACTATCGCCCCCCGAAGTTGATCAAACAAGTCATCAATCCTCGGTAAAGGATACCTATTCTTGATCGTGACCTTGTTCAACTGTCGGTAATCTATGCACATTCTCAATGTACCATCTTTCTTCTTCACGAAGAGTACGGGTGCTCCCCACGGTGAGTGGCTGGGTCTAATGAATCCGTTGTCCAAGAGTTCTTGTAGTTGGACCTTCAACTCTTGAAGTTCCGCCGGTGCCATCCGATAAGGAGGTATCGAAATGGGTTTGGTTCCCGGTTCAATTTCAATTACGAACTCAATCTCCTGGTCGGGTGGAAGTCCCGGCAAGTCTTTGGGAAAGACGTCCGGATATTCGCACACGACACGTACATCATTGATGTCTATCTCTTTCTTTGTCTCATCAATTACGTAAGCAAGGTATGCGTGGCATCCTTTTCTCATCATCTTCCGTGCTCTCATCACGGATATGATACAACCATGAGACCCTCCCCGATCTCCCTCGAAACGAAAGGTGTTCCCTTTATCATCCTCGAGTTCCAACACTTTGGTGTAGCAATCAACTCGAGCATGGTGCTTTTCAAGCCAATCCATTCCTAGGATAGCATCGAACTCCATCATACTTAGAGGTACGAAGTCACAAGTCAAAGGTTGACCCGTCACTTCTACCTCACATGATGGATAGTAATGGTCCCTCTCCACGTCATCTCCCAATGGTGTGGAGACTACCAAGGTTTGCGTCATTGGCGTCAATGGCACGTCAAGACCTTCGGCGAACGCTTCACTCACAAATGAACGTTGAGCCCCGGGTATCAATGAGAATTCTTGCATTTCTTCCATTGATCAATAGTGTTCCTACATTTATAGATGATGTAAGACACACTATTCGAAGTACCGGATCGAAAACGGGCTAACGGACGTTTTCTGGCCGAAAATGTACTGGACCGGCGCCGGTTCTAGGCCAGACCGGCGCCGGTTTTCCCCTGGGATGGCCGAATACACACCAATTACACTGGACCGGCGCCGGTTATGGCCAAACCGGCGCCGGTTTACCTTCGGCAACCTCGGAAAAATCATTTTCTTTAAAAACCGGCCCCGGTTACGAGCACGGTGATTTGTCCCGGCATAATTTCCCCTAGACCGGCGCCGGTTATGGGCAAAACCGGCGCCGGTTTTCCTTCGGCCCTTCCCCGGAAATTCGATTTTGTTGTTTTCAGCCTTTCCGAAACCGGACCGGCGCCGGTTATGGGAAAAACCGGCGCCGGTTCACCTACGGCAGCCCCAGCCAAGTAACATTTAAATATAACCGGCACCGGTTTAAGCCATGACCGGCGCCGGTTTACCCCTGGGCAGCTGTATTCCTACAACTTTTTGCTAAAAACACGCCGGTATCGACCCCGGCGAGCCCGTACAAGCCCGCTATCATTTTTAAGACTTAACAACATATAATTTATCAAGCATTACAAGGGATTACCTGCAACGGAGTCGGGGTTAGCCCGGGCATCGGCCTCGGTCATAGCATAGACTCGTGCTTGGGCCCCGGCTTGGTTGACGGACGCGGCATGGCTCGTTGATGCGCCGCCTCTCCCCGTGCCACCATGTGACGGTCCCGCACGGTTCCTCCCCGTCATGGACCCTCCTCCGGCTCCCGGTGTGTTCTCCTGAGTCGCTTGAGGACAATTGGCCTTCATATGGCCCGCATTCCCACACTTGAAACACCTTGGTGGTTCATTACACTTTCCAAAATGCTGTTTTGAGCAATTGGGACACCTAGGTGCTCCCGAGTTCTGTGGCCTAGGTCCGTGCCACCTCCCGTCCCTATTCTTTTTCGCCGGTGGAGCCGGCGCCTTGAATGAGCCCCCACCACCACCATGGTTGTTCTTTCGGGAATGATCGGGCGGCCCCGAACTGTTCCACTTCCTCTTCTTCGCCTCCTCGGCGTCCCTTGCTTTCCTCTCATTCCACTGGGCCTCTCCCAACATGCCCTGTTCTACCACCTCACTGAAAGTCATGAGGCGTGAGTATGTAGCACGGTCTCGGATGTCTAAAAGTAAGGCATCCCAGAAGTGCTCAGTCATGCGGTCCTCATCGATCGCGTACTCCGGTAAGAACCTAGCCAAGGTTCTAAACTCCTGCTCCAGCTGCTTAACAGTACAACCCTCTTTCTGCTTGAGGTTAGTATACTCCCTCTTTTTCACATTAACCTCAAAATCGGAGTAGTATTGGGCATAAAACTCCCGCTCAAAATTTTCCCATGTGATATTTCCACGGTACTTCCCTTCTACACCTTCCCACCATGTAGAAGCCATCCCCTCAAGCAACCGTGAAGCAACAGTTAGCTTCACGTCCGGAGTAATTTGCATGTCCCTTGATGCATCTTTCACTTTCTTGATCCAATCGGCGGCAACGGTAATGTCACCGGTGCCATCGAAGGACCTACACCCCAAGGCCCTAGCCTCCTTCAGGTACTTGGAGATTCTCACACAGAAACCTCCCTCACGGCCACTTCGTGGCTCCATTGGAATAGCCCTTGAAGCTTCCCGGCTTCCTTGGCCTGAACCCCCTTGAGAGGCACGCCTCGCTTGGCGTCTCATGTCTCTCCTCTGCTTCTCCTTTTGATACCACTCTAGGAGTTCCCCCATTTGGGCGAACCGGGCATCACTCTCGTCATCGTTCTCATCGTCGGTGTGGAAGTCACCCCCAGCATATGGGGTCTCATCATGCTCTGTCTCGGGAACATAGGTAGAGTCATAGTTCTCGGTGTTAGTCTCGTACACTGAACTCACGTGGCCATCACTCACTGTTTGGGCTCGGTGGCCCCCGCGACCTCCACGGCCTCCGCGGCCTCCTCTTCCACCTCTAGAGCTCCGAGATGCAGCCCGACTAGCTCCAACAGAAGCTATCGGTGTTTGCCCTCTCGGATTGTTTCTGGTCCGCATGCGCCTACCCTCCATTTCTGAAAAGGAATTTGGACGAGTCGTTAGACTCCATTCAATGTCAATTGACGGAAAACGTTATAGACACGTATTGGCCCAAGTCGCCGCCATACCAATTGTTAAGGGTACCATCTTAACAACTAGAGACCTTGCGACCTAGGTAACAATAGTTCTATAAGCGTCAAAATACAATGCTCATGGTTTTCGATAAAACTCTTTTGTAAAGTCTCATGTGAGAGGTTGATTATATAGTTTAGAAACTGAGATGGCTCTGATACCACTTAATTGTCACGCCCCGGACCGCATCCAAACGCGTGTACAACCGCCGTATGACTAAACGACGTCACCCGCAAGTCAACGTGACTTAATCATACAAGGCGTCCATGAACATTGTTCATACCATACTCAGTAAGTAAACATACATAACAACATCACATATTTGGATTGAACGAATCGCGGAAATATTCAATATTCAATCATGGGCCACATATGGCCAAAACGTGGACTCACAGGCCCAAAACAAATGTACTTATTACAAATTATCCATGAGCATAGTTTGTAGTTTAAAACAGTAAAGGAAGCACGAACCACGTCTCCCTTAAGATTACTTCACCGAGCAAGGTGAGAATGCAAGCTTGAGCTTCAACCTGAAATGGTGGGGCCCCCCCGAAGGGGTCAGTACAAGTACCGAGCGAGTAGCAGGCTAAATGTAGAATAACTAACGTTTCAAGTATAAGACCCAAACATAGGGTGATACATATACATATAGTTCTTTCCCCCAAGTTATGAAATATATATCATTATATATACACTTGGAAATACCCGACCCGTAGGTCATTGTTTATTTGGGAAATAATATAGCCGGTAACCTTGGCTTAAACCCCAACCCACCCATATACCTATGAGTGTATAGAACTCCTCCTGGTTCAAATTATCTTAACTTGAGGACACCGCCCGGTCCTAAATTACAAATGGTAGTCTATGAGTTTTGAGGATACACGCCCGATCCTTGGGTACTCCACCCTATATAACCGAGTTTTGAGGATAACCGCCCGATCCTTGGGTACTCCACCCTATAACCGAGTTTTGAGGATACACGCCCGATCCTTGGGTACTCCACCCTATAACCGAGTTTTGAGGATACCGCCCGATCCTTGGGTACTCCACCCTATAACCGAGTTTTGAGGATACCGCCCGATCCTTGGGTACTCCACCCGACTTATGATCTACCACATATCATCCTAGATAAGGTCTATATCATAATCAATAATCAAGACTAAACCAAGTCTTAAGGCCTAAGCATAATCATCCATGCAATTCATGCATTAAAATCAACATATAGGCAAAACAGTGCCAAACCGGCGCCGGTTTTGACATAACCGGCGCCGGTTATTATTTAATTCAATAAAACCGGCCATGCCGATCCATAACCGGCGCCGGTTTTGCCTATAACCGGCGCCGGTTGCCCCCTGGGCAACCAAGTCAACATTTTCGTTGACTCGCCATTTCAAACCCGATTTGCGTCAAACTTAATCCCAACATGTATTAAGTTATAACCAAGCATTTTATGCCCCTTTTATCCCTTAAAACATCATATATGTTTTTATAAACATTTTCATATCATACTTCATTTATGATAGATATCAATGGGTCATACATATAAGTCTAATCACTTTGGATAATCACATGTTTAAGCATCTTTTAAACATTATTATGAACACATATAACATTTACTTAGGTAATCTCATAATTAACCCAAGAGTTATAAGACATTAAGCCGTCCACTCACCTCAAATGAGCGTGATGAAGTTCTACCCCTCTCGGTTGAACTCCGGCCAAACTCCGGTGAACTTTGACGAACTCCGGCGATAACTCCGGCGACCCTTTAAACTTCGTGAAAGCTTTTAAGTCACCTTTGACAAGTTTCTAACAAGGTTTTATCATCACAAAACCCATATTAATACAAATAACCTCTAAAAGGTTATTTTCCGGCTAACCGGTCGTTTTGGCTCCTAAGTCCGTTTTTTTGGACTTAGAACTAGTTTCAACCCCTTGTTCCACACTTATACACATGTGGAACATCCTTAAGGGTAGTTCATATGACATATAAGTCATATGAAATCAAAAGATGGAAGAGAAGTTGTTAAAGAGCTACTCACCTTTATTCTCAAGGTCTTTCTCTACTTTTGCAACCTTTTTCTTCTTCCTTGAGCTCTTTGCTTGTTTGAGCTTTCTTGGCTATGGAGATGGAGGGTTTTCAGAGCTATTTCTCTCTCTCTTTGGGGGCTGGGTCGAGCTAAGTGATTGGGGGGAGGTGATGTGTTTCCTTTTGTCTCAAATGTGAGATAATTGGGAGGGGAGGTCTACCTAGGGTCATTCCTACACCAACCAATCACTCTCACTCAATATACACCACTCCCCCATGCTATGCAGCTCCCCAAGTCAACCATCTAGCACACAAAAACGTGGGGTGGCCCCCACTCATGTGGGAGGTCATCCCAACTTGTCCCGATGTGTACAATCGGCCCCGAAAGTTGTATTTCTCGGACTGTTTTAGTTATATTTTATTTTATCGGGTCAAATAAAATATATTACATGTTCACACTCATTATGGATCTTAAGAATGAATATACATTCCCCAACTTTAATTTAAGTCTCCGAAATTCATTTCGGACTGTTATCCGATAATTATCCAAAACCGGTAATTGGGCCTCGTTTGACCAATCGGTCAACCCAATGCCTTTCTGATGGTCCAAAGTGAATGTCCACTACCATATAACTATTATCTATACCAAGATGAATAAAATAGGCGATCTCGGGAATATCGGGTGGTCCCCGCTCCCGGTGTGGGCCCCACGTGCAATTTACTATTCACGCAAAAGAATTAAAGGAAATTTACAACCTTGTAAATTCATTAACCATTTCATAAGATTCAACACACAATTTACTTAAAAGTAAATACACTTGGGGACGGTGTTACACGTAGTGTCTCAAGAACAAGTATCAAGTGCTCTTCATGCTCTTCTTCACTCTTTGAGTAAATCAAGATGTCATCTATGAACACAATCACGAATCGGTCCAAGTATTTATGAAATACTCGGTTCATCAAGTCCATGAATGCCGCCGGGGCGTTTGTTAACCCAAACGACATAACAAGGAATTCAAAATGCCCATACCTTGTGCGGAAAGCACTCTTTGGTATGTCATCTTCCTTAATCTTCAGTTGGTGGTACCCCGACCTCAAGTCAATCTTTGAAAACACGGTTGCTCCTCGTAGTTGGTCAAATAAGTCATCAATCCTAGGCAAAGGATACCTATTCTTGATTGTGACCTTGTTCAGTTGACGATAGTCAATGCACATTCGGAGTGTCCCATCTTTCTTTTTCACAAAAAGAACCGGTGCTCCCCACGGGGAGTGGCTGGGTCTAATGAAACCATTATCCAAAAGCTCCTGCAATTGGGTTTTCAACTCGTTAAGTTCAGCGGGTGCCATACGGTATGGCGGTATGGAGATTGGTTTGGTACCAGGCTCGACCTCGATCACAAATTCAATCTCCCTGTCAGGTGGCAGCCCCGGTAGGTCTTTAGGGAAGACATCCGGATACTTACAAACCACCCTCACATCATCGATGTTCGTTTCCTCCTTGGTTTTGTCAACCACGTATGCTAGATATGCGTGACATCCCTTTCTCATCATACTTATCGCTCTCACGGCGGATATGATACAGCTATTTGATCTCCCTCGATCGCCCTCGAAGCGTAGGGTCTCCCCATCATTGCCTTCGAGTTCAAGAACCTTCGTGTAGCAATCTACCCTAGCATGGTTCCTTTCTAGCCAATCCATCCCTAGGATTGCATCGAACTCCATCATACTCAGCGGTACGAAATCACACGTCAAGGTTTGGCCATCAATTTCCACCTCACAAGATGGATAGTAACTCGTTCTTTCAACGTCATCCCCTAGTGGTGTTGATACCACTAATGTGTGCGTCAATGGTATTGATTGTACCCCTAAGTCCTCGACGAACGCCTCACTCACGAACGAACGTTGCGCTCCGGTATCGATAAGAATTCGTGCATCCTTCCCATTAATCTTTAATGTTCCTACATTTATACACCACGTAAGATACCTTTTCTAATGGTTTAGGACACTTTTTAGGAGGTTAATAGGTTCATATAAATGTTCGGAATCAAACGGGGGTCCAATCATAGAAGAACGGGATGAAAAACTCGTGTATCGGGCGGCTGGGGTCCACGCACGGTCGTGCGTGCATGAAAAGGCTCGCCTCCGGCTACTGCCGGTTACGCACGGTCGTGCGTACCCGGACACGCACGATCGTGCGTCCACGCACGGCGTGCGTACCGGCACGCACGGTCGTGCGTGGGGTTGGACGCACGATCGTGCGTCCCTGTTTTTTGGTCAGTTTTGGCCCGAATTTCGCCGTTTGACCCCGTAATGGCTCGCACTCAATCCCTATGACTTATGTCATCAATTTATGGATTAAATATGGGCAAAATACAATTGTGCAAGGGGCAATACCTGCAACCGAGTCCGGGTTAGCTCGAGCATCCGCCTCCGTCATCGCATAAACTCTAGCTTGAGTTCTTCCTTGATTCACGGATGGTGCGTTGCTCGTACTCGCTCCCCCATGTCCCCGGCTCGCTTGAGACGCTCCGGTTTGATTCCGTGTACCCGTCGGGCCACTGCTCGGTCCCGATGTCCTTGTCCCACCCAATTGTGGGCAATGCGCCTTCAAATGCCCGGCATCCCCACATTGAAAACATCTAGGGGGGTCGCGACATTTACCGGAGTGGTTCCTCTTGCAATTGTTGCAACGAGTTACCACCGAGGTTTGTGACCTCGAGCCTTGCCCACTCGGGCCTTGATTCCCCCTAGACGGTGGCGGCGGTGCACGGAAAGATCCTCCTCCATGGTTCCCCTTTTTGTTGGAACCTTGGGAGCCATGACTCTCCCATTTTCTCTTTTTCGCCTCCTCGGCGTCTCTCTTCTTCCTCTCCTCCCACTGTTTCTCCCCCTTCAACGCTTGGTCAACCACTTGGGCGAAAGTCATGTTAGGCAATTGTGTTGCCCTATCACGTATCTCCAAGTCAAGAGCATCCCAAAAGTGGTTTACCATTCGGTTCTCGTCACAAGCATACTCCGGTATGTAGTCGGCGAGATCCCGGAACTTGTACTCAAGTTCCTTCACTGTCATGTTACCTCCTTGGGTTAGGAGGGTGTATTCCCTCACCTTCTTGTTCACCTCAAAATCAGAATAATATTGGGCAAAGAACTCCCGTTGGAAGTCCTCCCAAACGACGGTCTCACCGTACTTGCTCTTGGTTCCATCCCACCACTTGGATGCCATCCCCTCGAGCAATCTTACCGCAATTCTCAGTTTGAGATTTGGCGCGATTTGCATGTCAAGGGCTGCTTCATTTAGCCTCTTGATCCATTGTGCTGCAACTGAAATGTCCCCTGCTCCATCAAAGGGTTTGCACCCCAAATCCCTTGCTTCTTTGATAAATTTGGAGATCCTTATGGTTGGACCTCCATCATTTTGGCCTCCATGTGGTTCCACATGGACTCTAGATGCACCATGACTTCCTCCTCTTGAAGCCATGCCCGAAGGTTGCCCCGCTCGGCGTCTTCGGCGTTGCCTCCTCTCTTCACGCTCCCTGTGGTATTGTTGGAGTAGTGCTTCGATCCGTGCTAAGGAGCCATTTTCCTCCTCATCACTTACATCGTCATCATCCCCTTCATAAGGGGTCTCAACCGGCTCTGTCTCCGGTTGGTAAGTCGAGTCCTCATAGGACCAGTAGGTCTCACTTTCCGTGTCAACATGACCGTCACTCACGGTCTGTGATCGGCCTCCACGGCCAGCTCCTCTAGATGCCCTAGAGGTCCTTCGACTGCCCTGTCCAGTCTCCACTGGTACACGGCCCGTCGGGTTTCTCCTAGTAATCCTGCCACCACGGTCCATCTCTGAAAGAAATTTGGAAAGAGTCGTTAGACTCGTATCAAATGTCAATTGACGGATAGGTACTTAAGACACATCTTGGCTCGAGTCACCGCCATACCAATTGCTAAGGGTACCATCTTAACAATTAGAGACCTTGCAACCCAAGTACCAAAAGCTCTCCAAGTACAAAACTTCTATGCTCATGGTTTTCAAAATCTTTTCAAAAAGAGGATTTTGAGACTTCATTATGAAGTTTACGGACTAAGGCTCTGATACCAACTTAATTGTCACGCCCCGGACCTCCCCGGACACGTCGACAACCCGCCGTACAATACGAATAGTCAACCGCAGTCCAACACATTCATATTATACAAGGCGTCATGAATATCATTCACACATAAGTCATCCATAAACAACATAATAAGTAATTCATAAAGCAGCGGAAAACATTGTTTAAAACGAAAGGGGCCACATAGGGCTATTCATGAGCACGCAGGCTCTATAATAAAATATCCATGAGCATGTTTATTAATGTTTAAAATCCGAATGGAGGAAGCACGAACCAAGTCTTCGCTCCTAGATGATCTCTCGAGCAACGAGCACAGGAAGCAAGCTCTAGCCTCAACCTGAAAAATGGTGGTGGGACGCCCCCGAAGGGGTCAGCACTCTATACGGCTATAAAGTGCTGGTGTGGCAGGCATCTAATAGATATACAACAAGTATTTCAAACACAAGACCCTCAAATAGGGTGATAGTACATTATGATTGTAACCCTAAGTTACCCCGTTCAAAAAATATACTTACTTTATATAAAAGTCAAGTAGTCGGCCCGTGGGCCCATGTTTGTTTGGAAATCACCATTCCCAACCCCGTGACTATAAGCTACGACAACTCCTAGAGTCCAACCCTAGTACATGACATTGTATTCTAGAGCTCGGCTCTACCACATCACCATACAATTCATATACCTCGGGTCAATCTCCCTACCTTGCGTTCTAGAGCTCGGCTCTATCACATCACCACGCAAGTCCTAGAGCTCGGCTCTAGCTATACAATACATAGACTCCAAGTCTACACCTTACATGCATTCTAGAGCTCGGCTCTATCACATCACCATGCATTAAGGTCCAATTCTCAAGCAACCCTGTGCCTAGAATTGACATATCAATAAACTACCATGGGTCACCCTTAAAGACTTCCCCCAACTTAACCTTAGTTCCATACTAAGTTATTATATACACTTGAACTATATTCAAGTACCTTTCATACAATCCAATCCCTAGGATCAATTTAATCAACAAGTTCCAATAATCACTAGCTAGTATTTCAATACTATTAAGATTATTGTTATCATACCACTATCCTCTTTACTTGTGATTCTCTACATAATTATAATTATGTAGCAGCAACTTAAGTATTCAATCTCAATACACAAATATTCATTTATGTATCCACATAATTCATACATGAGTAAAATACCCATTTTCACGAAATAGTTCTTTTATACTCATTTAGTCTCATATTATTCATACCTTCTCAAATCATTTCAAATTTCATTCTTTGGCAACTATATCAATATTTCATCAATATATAATCATTATAATCCATGAAAAATCATGATTTAAGCATTTAGGTAATCTCATGCTTAACCTACAAGTTGTAAGCAATTAGATGTCAATCCTCACCTCAATTGAGCTTTAAACTTTCCCTTCTTGGTCCAATGGTCAAATCTTTGGTCAAGGTGGATTTGGGACTGATTCCTTGCTCAAATATGAGTGTTAAACAGCCTCCTCAAAGTGCTAGTTCAACCCTTAATCGTTGATACGAAAACAGCCCCTAGAACGGGTGTTTTCCGGCTAACTCGATTCCTAGTTTTCCAATATTTGCATCTAGGTTAGTATCTAACCTTTACATCAATAAAATAACTTTATAAGGACATATTATACACTTGGATTAGTGTATAATAGTCTCACCAATCGTTCATATCATTTGGAGAATGAAAAGTAAAGCTTTGGGGTTAAAACTCACTTTAGAAGATTAAATCCTCTCCTGCGAGGTTGCGTTTTTCTCGGACAATTTGGAAGCCTTCCACAACTCCGATTCCTGCAAACCAGGCCTTCACAGATTCCTCGTCTTGAGAGCTTTCTTTTGGTATATCATACGCCTTATTTGGACGAGTGAAGCTCAAGTTATGGATCAAACAAGAGACCCTATCTGCTGGAAAACGAATCCTGCGGCCAGCTTCTCTCTTCTCTTCTCCCTTGGAATATGTGGCTCCCTCTTTCTCTCTTATCTTGGGAGTTCGAATGGGGTGTAGGGGAAATGTATTAGGAAGGCCTCAATCATGCTAAGAGAGCATGTGGTTCACAAAAAGAAGGGTGGGGTATTTGATTGCAATCAAACATGGTATGGACCTCCTCTTTTATTTCCTTTTTGTAATGTTGTAGCTCATGAGTCAAAAGTCCGCCCCACATAGTTGTCTCATCCATTTTTCTTTGTCTTTGCAGGTACCAAGGTCATGTGGGATGGTTCCCAAATGATCCCATTTAATTTGGGGTCCAAAATATCTACCAATACTTCCAAAAATGGGAAGATGGGTCCTATTGTTTTATCTTTGTCAAAAGATGTCTTTTTTTTTGTACTCATTCTAATTTATTTAGAGCAAGTCAACTTCCTAAATCACATTATTGATCTCCAATATGTGTAGGCTCATCTCAATAATTTACATGATGAAAATTACAATAGAATGCGGGTTTGAACAATACAATATTCAATCATGTACTTCGTAAAATATTAATCGTTTCTTCCATTGCTTTGAAATCGGAAATTCAATACATCACTTTTGAATTTTTAAATCGAATTTTCAAGGACGTTCGGGTGCGGTGTCACATGACATACCTCATAAAATGAAATTGTGTGAGGCAGAGTTCTAGGTTTATGTTCATAATGATGCCATATAGTTTTGTGAATTTAGGAACTGCTAGGAGGCTTGGAAACTATATTGGTCGGTTTATTAGTTATGATGAGAGCCAGTTTGAAGAAAAGTTGGAGTCTTATATGAGAATCAGGGTGAGTATGGATGTTGGGAAACCTCTGAAAAAGGTCTCTACTCTTAAGAAAGGTGGTACTGACATTGGATGGATTTCAAATATGAAAAACTCCCTAATTTTTGCTTTGTTTGTGGGGTGATTGGACATTCTGATAAATTTTGTCCCTTAAAATATGAGGATGATATAATCATTTGGAGTAGAGCTTCGAGCTGACGAAGAGGTGACGACTAGCCCTATAGGGGAAATAAGTGGTTAGGGGAAAATTTCTCAAGTTCAAGGGTGGCTAGACGTAGATAAGGATGGTTAAGGGACAGGGGGACAAGGTGGGCGACAGTCCACAACGGGTACAGATAATAGTGTTACCAAAGAAGGAGAAGTGGGTAATATTGAGGAAGTGTCGGTGGACCAAAAGCGCAGAAGGATTTGGGAAGAGCAGTCACAGGAGGATCCATTAGGCGAGAACATGTCACTGGATAACCCAAAAAAACGGGGAGGCTGCGGGTCCGAGCTTCTAGACCTGCCGGAAGTGCATTTGGTTTTTCTGCTCAAGAAAACAGAGTTTAATTTTTATTTTTTGCTGCTTTGCATTTTAATTCCCACGTTGAGGTTGTTCTTCTTTGTTTTTATTTCATTTACTGCTATAAGACTCTTGCATTAGGATTGAGTGATGAGAGGTATGCGGTAACCGTCTTTGGCTTAATTATGTCCAAGTTAGGATCAACGAGTTATATTGCTTTGTCAAAGGTGATTAACCTTAATTCTGGTTCAAGAGCTGATGGTTACATGTGATGCTTTTGTTGTTTCAACCCCTATCTGAATGTTGTGATATCAATCTAAGCCCCCTTCTTCCAAAAAAGAATGATATATTAGGTTTGGCACATTATTTAAGATATAATTAATAGGGGTAATGAATAGTGTTGAAAAAGCATGAGAGATGGTGTAAAGAATGAAAGAGGAGATAAAAGCAGGAAAATTAAGAGTAAACTTACCAAAAATTGAAGTATAGCAAACTTTTAAATACATCCGAAAAAGGAAAGTGTTGCTAACATTAAAACTACGGATATGTATTTATTATTGATTTGATAATTAAGTAAGAATAATTTAGAGTCATATCTTCTTTGTCCCAAATTGAGTTAGAAAATTGATTTTCTTATCAAACAAATCATTTTATTTACTTAATTAGAATATCAATTATTACGTATTAATTAATTTTGGTTTGGATTTTGCAAATTTATAGATATTTTAGCATGTAAATTTTAATTATTAAATTGAAATTATTAAAATTTAAATTAAAAATCAATAGGGAGAATTTAACTTTAAAATTGGTTAACTAATTTTTTTTTATTTTGCGAAACAATTTGTGACATAGGTAATACAAACTTTACCAAATTTAGAGCACCCCATTGCAAAAGTGTGCATATACATGTGTCATGAAAGAGTCAAATACATAAAATTAAGTTAATGAAATTTCTCTTTTTTTACTCGGTAAACAAAAGATCAAAATCAGTGGGATAAATGATGAAAAACATTTACCAACTAATCTTTGGGCTGAACCCAGCAGAGTCTTTGCTACATGGTGAACGGCCCAATTGGCCTCCCTCCAAGTATGTGTGATCGTGAGTCCATGTCTGGTGTGAATTAGGAATCCATAATCCACTTCTCATCAATATCATGAGAGATAACACTCTGAGCATCCGTTTTAATCCGGCTTCAATAATCGATTATGTCGCCTTTGTTACTGTTATTAGCTCTGCCTCTTCTTTCTTTCCACATTTTATATATTTTTGATAATTTTTTCAAATAATATCAATCACAATGTCAATATCACTACATCAGGGCACTTTTCTTGACAATGAAGAAAAACATACCAAAAACATATAATATATTTCAAATAAGAAGAGAGATATATTGCTTACTAATATTTGTGTGTCTATATCTCTTATATATGTCACACGTACACCGTGCATATTTTGACATTGGAGATACTCTTAGTACGTAGTATGAGACAATTTTAATAGGGCAAATCAAAAAGTAAAGACAAGAAAATCTTAGCAGAACGAATGGAACACGTCATATACATACATCATTAAAAAGTTGCAACGAATGGAACACGTCATATACATACATCATTAAAAAGTTGCTCATGTCACAAGTCACTTACTCCGTATTTACTTGCATCACACATGTGGAGACTAATGGCCATCTGGCCATGTGAGCTATCATATTGTTTAGCTTATACTATCGTATTGTTTTAGAGATATTACCCAAAATGGGACTAAAAAAGTTTGAAAATTCCAAAATAGGACTTCCATGTTTTTATTCCCAAAATAGGACTAATTACTGTCATGTTTTGGCAGTACCAGACTTCAAACATGGCAATATTTTCCAAATTTGGCAGTAATTAGTCCTATTTTGTTAATAAAAACATGACAGTCCTATTTTGGAATTTTCGAACTTTTTTAGTCCCATTTTGGGAACTTTCCCATTGTTTTACGAACTGGACCAAGAAGCGACCCGACCAAACTTTTCTAAATGTCCCTTAGTCCGATCAACCATTTTATATCTTGCAAAGGAGATTCCTTTTGTACGTAAAGGAAGGACTCAACACATTTCTTCACAGAAAAACAATACCGTTCTTATTTGAGTAACAAAGCGTAATTACAGTTTGCCAACTATTGGTATTACAAAAATCTCCAGATCTGAATATAACTAATGAGTATGGTATAGTGTGTTTTCTTATGGTCCAGAGAAGTTATGCAAATCGCAATTAGTCTGTTAAGCTGAGTTTGCACACCGAAAAAATCCACGGTCCTTAAGCATCAATGTCCACCTGGATTCTTTATAAGAGCATCTCCAATGCTCGTGGTGGATTGGGGTTGAGGTTTCAAATAAATGGAAAGGGTGTATTGAATTTGTGAGCTCAAAGTAATCAAATGGAGAGGGTCTATTAACACCATACTCCAATGCGGAATAACTTATAGTGAGCTCAAAAAACAACTATTGGTATAACTTATAGTGACTAATAGTAATAATAGGGGGGCCGACTGTGGTCTTGTTAAGCTGTGAAGTACATGTGGTTAACCCAAGCCTTATGCTAAAATTAATGGTAGTACAGGTTGTACATGTTCCCACATCGGCACATTCCACAATCCACATTATAGAATGCTGATTAATGACGATGAACACTTAGAAGGGTCCATTTGCCACCTGAAAAAATGGCTTTATTAATATTAATGCAACCTCTACAAATTCATTTTGGTATTTGTTCAAACTAATTTTATTTAAAACCTATAAAAAGAACCATGATATATACTATCGTATTAGAAACCTTAATCGCAATTTTTTCTTTATAAATCACATGCAAAAGTCACACAAATGAGATGGCAGCTGAATCAGTTTCTATGTTTACTTAATTAATTAAATTATTAGTTTCGGAAATACAGCTGAATCAGTGAACGAAGAATCGAGTTTTCAATAGGGGCATAGCGGGTAGTTGCCAAATCAATTCGTAATAATTCTGATGATGTAACAATAGGGGCATAGGGGATTATTTTTCGCACCGCCCGGTCCAAAAAAATTGGTTGGCCCGGTCCAAACCGTTATTCCCGGGTCTTGGCCATTTCCGGGTACCCGCCCAGTCTGTCTAGTCCGGGTCCCAGACCCAGTTCCCGTTTTTTCATAGTTATTTGGCCATACTGAAGCCCAAAAAAACGGGTCGGCACCGAAACTGGGACCGGTACCGCCCTGTTCGGTCCACAAAATTGTAAATTGGGACCGTGAGCCGCGACTGCTCTGGGGCGGACATGTTCGGTGCCATGCCCAAAACCACTCTAAATGGACCCAGACTAGTCCCAAACAATGCCGGACCCGGTTCCAGACTGCTGGATCGAGTCCACTCCTAACATGAACCATTAAGACAACTCCGATGGATAGGTGGATTGTCAAAAAATGCTATCCCCATCACCAAATGGACCCTTTATGAGAAGATGTACTACTCTACTATGCAAAAGAAATGAGCGAAGTCCATCGTTGTTGGCAATGCACATGGTCCAACGGCATGTCTACT